GGGCAGCTCTCCCTGGGAACATTCCCCCTGCAGCCCTGGCAGATAACCTGCCTGAGCCCCTGGCAAACTGAGGGGGGATTATTTGCCCTGGGATGAAGTCATGCAGCAGGATGAACATGGTTTGTGTCAGCATCAGCCCCTCAGGCTCCAGCCTCGCCCCACGTGGGGCTTTTTCCCCCCCCAGATATATTTATGTTGGCCTCTGGATGGAATATCCCACCTCAGGGCTGTGTCTCACATCCCACAGGGCTCTAGGAACGAGCTGCTGCACCAGCACACAGTGGGACTGTAAAAGATCCCACAGAAAAACACCTGGGAATTGTGTCCAGCCCTCATTCAAAATTTCCATCACTGAACAGCAGGAGGGAGTTTCTGTGCCAGCCACAAAATGTGGGACAGGCTGGAATTCCAGGATTCCAGGAGCCAAACCTGGCACCAGAGTGCAGGGACATCACTCCCAGGATGCTGCTGGAGCAGTGAATCTGTTCTGGCCTCTGGATTGGCATTTCTTCTTCTCTAAATTTTACCTTCTGTGGCCAAAAGAGGAGAGTCTCTGTGTTCCTCTTTGAAATCCACAATCACACACACAGTTGGCCAAGCCTCACCTGGACGCTGGCCAGTGCTTACACATTTTCTTGTTGCTGGCACACAGAGCAACTGTACAAAAAGATCTGTTTTACTAAAAAACCCAGATGTGTTTAGCTGAAAGTTAAAAAAAGAAAAAGAAAAAAAGAAAAAAAAAAAATCTCAATGACTGAAAAAGATGGGAAAATCCAAGGGGGGGGGTTGTGGTTTCTCAAGCCTTGCAAGCTATTTATTTCTGGGAATCACAAACCCCATTTCATTTTATGAATCAGATGCTCCTTAAAGTTACAGCCCTCTTGTCTCCTCTTTTCCCCTCTCCTCGTTCCCAGTGGTTAAATAAAGAACAAACAATGCCATATTTAGGGTATTTATATATAGAAGAGGCTCCATGAAGAACAAAAGGACTGTTCCAGAGGAATATTGGCAGCAGCATGTACACATTCCACTTGGGAATATATCCCTGCTGTACACATCCAGGTTAAACCTCTTCAGAACATGCTCACTACACAATAAACAATAAATACAGAGCATTTTCCTGCACTCTTCCCACTGGATTCCACTCCAGCAGGGTTTTTCCAGCTCATTTTTACACCAGCCCATGCAAACTGGCATTTTCCTCTTCTTCCTCACTGCAGCTCTTGTGGAAGTTCTTGCCCCAGATTTCAGTGATTTGTGCCCAAGATTTCTCCTGCAGTGTCAAAGTTTGGGCTGAGCACGAAGCCAAGGCTCAGGGGAAGGGGAACAATGGAGAATGAGAGAAGAAGAACAGAAAGATTGGGCACAGAACATTTCCCAGGCCACAGGATCTCTGTTGTGACATTAAATCCTCTCCTCCCCAGGACTCTGCTGTGCTCTGACCTTGGTCTGGTTCTGATCCCTGAGGTGAAAACACATTTCTGTGTCCTTCAGGGACCAACCTTGCCGTGCATGATGAATAAAAGTGACTTTCAAAGGGATATGCAGCACAGGAACTTCAAAAATAATGTTAAAAATCTGGGGTTTGGGGGAAATTTTGAGAAGCAATGGCTACAGTGCAAATTCCTGGTTTAGAGGAAGGTGTCCATGGCAGGGGGTGGGAATCAGGGGATCTCTGGGGTCCCTTCCAAACCAAACCTTCCTGGGATTCTGGGACAAATTTGTGTGCACGACACACAGACACAGAGCAATGCACAAATACACCGGTGAACCACCAAAATGCTACCTTTGATCTCCCTAAAAATAAACTAAAAACATTAAATCAACCCAATTTGCCTTTGAATTCAGAAGTTCATGGCTGAAAGCAGGAAATACATCAGCTGAGGGTGGTGCATCCAGCTTTTCCAGCCACAGCTCCCTGACCTCTCTGCCCCTCCCAGGCTGCTCTGGAGGTGCCCTTGACTCCATCCATGGAAGTTCTTCCAGAAGTTCTTCCCATCCACACCGTGGAAAGGATTCCAGCAGCTGGAGAGCCTGAGCTGCCTCCTGGGGACACATCCAGCTGTGGGACATGGACACCCACACCACCCCCACATCCCCTGACCTGCCTGGAGCTGGCCCTGCAGCTGTAGCACCCAAAGATACAATAATACAATTTATTATTATTATTATTATTATTATTATTATTATTATTATTATTATTATTATTATTATTATTATTATTATTATATTCATTTATATTATATACATTTATATTATATTTTAAAATATTATTTTAAAATTTATATTAAAAATAATGTATATATTATATTTCTATATTATATCCATACGACATTATATATTTATATAATAAAAATTATATATATTGCATTTTATATTTCTGTATTATATCTATATAACATTATATATTTATATAATCTTTGCTATAGTTTATATTGTTTTTATAATTTAAAATTTGTATATTATATTTTATATTCTTTTTATAATTTTAATACTTTTTATATTCTATATTATATTTTACTCTAAATAATTTTATATTCTATTCTATATTATTTTAAATAATATTTCTATTTTATATTATATTTTATTCTCAATATTTTATATATTTATACTATATTTTTATTATTATATAATATAAATAATTATTTCTTTCTAAAGCACAATTAGGGCTTGTTGGGCTTTTTTTTTTTTTTAACAAAAGAAGCTTCTCCCAGCTGAGTCAGAGCAGCAGAGCAGCACCATGGAATGTGATCCCAGGGGTTTCACCTCCTGTCCAGCAGGGCAGAGTTGAAGGAAGGATGTTCATGGCAGGCAGTGCTGCCCACCCAGCAGCACTTTGCTTCAGACTGATTTCCAAATCAGACTTTTGGCCATTTCTCTTAGGGAAAGCAGCAAAAATAACCCACAAGAATTATTGTGTTATCTGTCCCTTTCACAGAAATCATCATCTGGAGTTCCCACTCACACTTGGCCCATCTGTCTTTCTATAAATTATGGAGGGAAAAGGGCTGAGTGGGTGGATATTTTTAAAAACAGGATCCTCAAATGAAATCTGGAAATGAAGAGCACCTTGCACTCATGGGTGACTGATAAAGACATGGCAACAGCAGGCCCAGGAATTTGCATCAGGTTCTTTCCTGATTTTATGGCCCAGCTTCCAGACTGTTCCCAAGGAAAGCGTTTCCCCAGAGGGAGGATGATGAGGGAGGACAGCCAGGTACTTCATCTCACCCTGCAGCTTGACAGCTGCCACAGATGGGCTTGGTTTGCACGGAAAAAAGAGCAGAAAAATGAATTTCATAGCTACAAATGAATTTTTCAACTTGCACAGGGAGAAGGTGACACGAGGGTCACACAGTCCAGGCCCCAGGACATTCTTTTCATGCAAGGAGCAGCAAACACAAAGAACCAGAATTCGAGGTAATTTCCCTCCTGCATTTCGCAAAATGCAACTGAAGTGTGATTAAATTTCTTTTTTGGTTACAAAATCAACTATTAAAGCGAACATCTCCCTTTCTTTTCACCTTTCCACATCCTTTGTGTGTATTTTAGCTGGTTAAGTTGTGGGGTTTTTTTTGGAAGGGGAGCAAAAAAAACACCAAACCCCTTGCCAGAAAGAAAAAATGGGAAAAAAGATTCCCAAATGTATCTTGTTTTAAAAAGTGAGGCAATCCTGAGTGGCCCAGAGAGTGAAATTCCAGCCCAGCTCTCTGTGCTCACACTGCACTCTGTGGGCTCTGACCACCAAGGAGGTGCTGTTTAACCCCACAAATTTCAGAAACCCCAAACTAGGTGGGAGCAGCACAAAATCCCCATTTTCTCACCTCATTGATTTATTCTCCAAACTGCTGGAGAGCCCATCAGCCCCCAAATCCCAGAGCAGCAGGAGATGTTCCCTCCCCAGAACCCCAGAGAAACACCAAACAGGGCTGAACCCCCTGAAACCCCAGCAAAGAGCTCCCCTTCCAAAGCAAACTCCAGGAATCCACAGCAGCACCTTCACAAGGGGAGATAAAACCACATTTTAGGCTGTTCCATTAGAGGGCATCCTACAACATCCTTTTGTGGTCAGAGGCTTCTCCTCATTCATATCCTCTGCAATGATTCATGGAAGTTCTTCCATAAGAGCCAGGAACATTCACCTCCCCAGGTTTTTCATCCCTTGTAATTGCATTCATTGCATTAATGGATGAATTTTCTGCTTCAGTTAGGTCTGTGTTTCCCTTCCCTCACCAGGAGAGGTGGATTTTCAATATTTTTCCACAATGTGAGATGTGAATAAGCACCACAAAACTGATTGCAAACCTCAGGACAGCCAGAGATCACACTTGAGAACAGCGAGGCACTGGAAAGGTGAGCAGGTTTGATCAGGTTTGATCAGGTATTTTGAAATTAGAGTTAGAAGTGAATGTTCTCAAAAACTGCCCCAGACAGAAGCTCCACTGCCAAAATACAACGTGGGGAGTGCTCAGAGCCTGCAGCAGGAGCCAAACCTGAGCTCCAGGACACAGGGAGCTCTGGTGCAAACAGCCACTGCTCCCACCCACCTACTCAATCTTTAAAAAAAATCTTCAAAAAATCTTTTCAGGCAGTTTATTAATACAGGTACAGAGAGACAGACACAGTTTACGACCCTTAAAATCAGCAAGAAGCCCCTGGGCAGTAAAATCTGCTTGTAGTGATAAATATTTCCCTGACTGGGCTGTGACATGGATGAAGTACCTGTAGGTGCACTGGAATCACTCCACAGACTGAAGGCACCAGAGGATCCAAAGGTAATAATATTGCAAATTAAGAAGTCTGGGGTAAGAAACAGGAGTTGACACGATAACATGAAAACATCACTGCGAGACAGATAACTCAGTTACAATAAATTACCATCCCATCTGACTTAAAAAGCAGAATGGAAAAGTGCTCCTGTCACACCACATGACAAATGAACTTCTGACTGCTGAAATGCAAGATTAATGAAGGCACAGAAGAGACATGAAAGGACTTACGAGGATCCTGGGCTCGCTGTTGGCGGGGGACCTGGAAAAGTGACAGAAGAAAAACAGCAGGATGAGTTACGGTGAGGTAGCAAGCAGGAAGCTTTTGAAAACCTTTTAAAAAGATAAAAGCACCAGTCTGTGGTGCTGGCTGTGGTTTATGGAGTTGAACGGAGGAGTGGCAGCCCCTCAGCACCAAAGACAAGGCTGTATTGCCTGCAGAACATGACACAAGGACAAAAAACAGGTGAGCAGCTCACCCCCCTCTTGAAACTGCCTTAGGAGAACACCTAATGATTAATTTCTTATCAGAAATCAGAAAACATGGGAGATTTATGAAAAAAAGAAGATGAAACTCATCACATCCATCATTCCCTGTGTGTTATTTGTCCAGTTCCAAAGAGGATTAACCAGGACTGTGTGCAAATATCTTCATCTCAGTGAATTATTTCCCCTTGACCGTGGAGGAGGAGGGGGAGAAGACACACAAAACCTGTTTCTTGTTTGGAATTTTCTGAGTGGTAAGACCAGCTTTGAAGGCAGTTATCTCAATATAAACTTGGGGGAATGAGTGCTTATTTTCCCTGACAGGTATATATGGGTCTCATCTCAGGCCCTCAGCCTGCAGTGCCAGCTGAAGTTTCTCACTCACCAGACACAGAGGTCGCTCAGAATAAAGGAGTTTTTCTCCTCTGGTCTGAATCTACCCAGGTACCCCATTAATGGGGGCTCAGCCTGGAGCAAAGGAGGCTCAGGGGGGCCCTTGTGGCTCTGCACAGCTCCTGACAGGAGGGGACAGCCGGGGGGGGGTCAGGCTCTGCTCCAGGGACAGGACAGGAGGAAACAGCTTCAAGCTGTTCCAAGGGAGGTTTGGATTGGATATTGGGAAAATTTCTCCTCCAAAAATGTTGGGACAGTCTGCTCAAGGCAGTCACCATCCCTACAACTGAAGCTGTGGCACTTTGGACACGGTTTAATGGTGAACATGGTTTAGCAGTGTGCTGGGTGCTGGTTGGACTGGATGACCTTGGAGGTCTTCTCCAACCTGAATATTCCACGATTCTATGAAAATACAGCTGTTCCTACACTCCCATGGATCCAATTATTTAGGAAACCTGTGGATGGGGTTAAAAGGGCAGGGATCCCAGCCCTGCAGGACAGACAGCATGGTCAAAGTCTCTCTCAGGGGTGTCCCATGGCTCCTCAGCTCCCCAGGACCATTCCTCCAGCTCCACCCAAGGCATGTTTCTGCCCTACCATCCTAACACCTTCTCTGGGAAGCCCATTTCGAGTCAGCTCATGGATTCCTGGGCTCTCTGCATAACCTAAGTTCAATAAGTTTGACAACAATTCCACAAGCCTCAACAATTCCACGCCGCACCAGCGCGCTGCCTTCCCCCGGCCGAACCCTTTCTCCTAAAGCAGGAGCTGGGTCAGTTTCTGAGGAGCAGGCTCACCAAACTTGACGAAGAGCACGCCGGTGGTGGACACGGTCCTCCTGCCGTTGGTGGCCACGCACTGGAAGTAGCCGGTGTCGGTGGTGTCCAGGTTGCGGATGCGCAGGCGGGAGCCGTAGGGGGTGGCTCGGAAGGAGATCCTGCGCGGCTCCTGCACCACGGGCGCGTCGTTCTTCAGCCACCTCACCGTGGGAGGGGGGTTCCCTGACACCTTGCAGTGCAGCTCTGCCGTCTGGCCCAGCGTGGTGGTGATGTTGTTCATGGGCTCGTCCAGCGTCAGGAAATAATCTGGGGATGGGGAGAAAAGAAGGGGGATGAAGGGCTCCAGAGCAGGGATGGCATTGTGGAGAAAGCTGCTGCTTGTCTTTGGAAGTGACACAAAGGAGGATTTTTCCTCCTGAGAAGCTGAGAGGCCTCAAGAACAAAATGCAAACAATGGTTATCTGCTGCTGTGGAATGCAACAGGTGCATCTGGGATTGGTCTCATGTGGTTGTTCCTAATTAATGGCCAATCACAGCCCAGCTGGCTCGGACTCTCTGTCCAAGACAGAAGCTTTTGTTATCATTCCTTCTTTTTCTATTCTTAGCCAGCCTTCTGATGAAATCCTTCCTTCTATTCTTTTAGTATAGTTTTAATATAATATATATCATAAAATAATAACCCGGCCTTCTGAAACATGGAGTCAGATCCTCGTCTCTTCCCTCATCCTCAGACCCCTGTGAACACCATCACAGTGGATAGCAGAGTTCCCTTTGCTGTTTCAACATCTCCTATTTGGCTTCATTTAGCACAGAAAAAAAACACTGCTGCTCTTTTTTCTTTTTCCTAACCAAAACACAGGAAAAACATCTCAGCACTCCAGTTGTTCATTTTGATGCTGACCTGCTTCTGCTCATGCCAGAATCCACCAAATGTAGGAACATGTGAAAGGAACCATTCAGAAGTGCAAATCCTGTGACCCAGAGAAGCTGGGGCTGTCCCTGGATCCCTGGCAGTGCCCAAGGCCAGGCTGGACAGGGTTTGGAGCACCTTGGGAGAGTGGAAGGTGTCCCTGCCATGGCAGGGCTGGCACTGGATGAGATTTAAGACCCCAAACCATTCCAGGATTCTGTGATCCTGCCTCCAAGCCATTCTGAGTGACTCGCAGGCAGAGCAGAGAGTGTGTTATCTATAATTTTGTAAGCACCAGCTGCAGAGAGGAGGAATAAGGATCATATCTGGGAAAGGAGACTTTATTCTCACTCAGTATTTCCATGGCTAAGAGTACTGAAGATTACCTCCACTCTAAAATAGGGCTCATGATTGAAAAATCAAATGACATTAAAATTATGAAGATGAATCTCTCCTAATCCATTCCTGAGCACTGCCTTCTGTCCAGGGCTATTTCACTGGGCATCCCTCAGGAAGAGGCCCATTCCTCATTCACTGTATTCACCACTTCATTCAATCCTTTAAAGGCAGGGAGGGAGATGGGTTGGGATGGGGAATGGAATCCTCAGGCTCTCCTCTCCATGTCAGAGGTTCAAAACTAATGGTGGCCACCATCAGCTGCTGGCTGTCCCATCAGCAGGGTAGCCAAGGAATGGGAAATCCTGACTGTATCTGGCTCCTGAACTCTCAGAGCCAGACCAGGAGGTCAAGAAAAGCCAAAATCAGTCAGTGAACTTGGAATCCCAGAATTATTTGGATTGGAAGGGACCTTGGAGTTCATCCATTTCCACCCCTTGCCACAGGAAGGGACACCTTCCACTATCCCAGGTTGCCCCAAGCCCTGTCCAACCTGGCCTTGGACGTTTCCATCCCCAAACTGGTGCCATGCTGCTTTGTGCTCCATCACTCTCAAGTCCACCTGCAGTTCACTCCAGCAAGAAACCTTCCTGAAAGTGTGAAAAAACCCTCCAGCACGTTCCAAACCAGCTCAGCCACCCAGCCTGCCTAAGTAAGCCACTTCCCTAATTATTCCTGTAATCTTGGCTTGCCCAGCTCCTCCCTTCATTATGGTTTGTGGAGAGCAGTATCTCTTGCCTTTGTTTTTAATCTGTTTAGCACACAACTTACTCTGTGTTTGCACAGCACTTTGAACAAAGCCTCCCTGTCCTCACCTGGTCCCAGGAGCCATTTGGGACAAACATTTGGCACCCAGGCCCTGTCCACAGATAATTTTTTTCCACGTGTATTTTTTCAATTAAGTTCTAATGTGCAGGTGTGAAACTGTGCTTCTCTCAGGGAGCAAGGGACAGGATGAGAGGGGATGGCCTCAAGTTGCACCCAGAGAGGTTTAGATTGGGAATCAGGGGAAAAAATGTCCTGGGAAGAGCTGTAAAGTGTTTAAATAAGGTGCCCAGGACAGTGGTAGAGTCACCATCCCTGGAAACATTCAAAAACCATGTGGAGTGGCACTTGGGGATGTGGCTTAGTGGTGAACATGGTGCTGGTTGGACTTGGTGATGTTAAAGGGCTTTTCCAACCTGAACATTCCATGATTCTATGAAAATACATCTGTTCTGGCACCCTCACGGATCCAATTATTTAGGGAACCTGTGGATGGGTTAAAAGGGCAGAGATCCCAGCCCTGCAGGATGGACAGCAGGGTCCAAAGTCCCTCAGGGGTGTCCCATGGCTCCTCAGCTCCCCAGGACCATTTCTCCAAGCTCCATCCCAAGGCACATTTCTGCCCTGCCATCCTGACACCCTCTCTGGGAAGCAGAGCTCCAGCCAGCTCATGGATCCCTGGGCTCTCTGCACAATCTGGGTTTAATAAGGCCCCACTAATGGCCTGGGACCAGAGAACCACAGTTAATTACCCAGTGTAGCATTTCTGAACCACAGCCATTTATTTAATTCCTGATAACGCTCCTTCAGCCATCTCCAGCCCAACAGGGAGGGAAACAGCCCTGGATGGGCTGCCTGACAAACAGCACAGTGAACAGGATGGTTTGAAGGTCCTGAGGAATACAGGAGAGGCAAATAAAGGACTGAGGATGTAGGGAATGTTTCCAAAGGCTGGAAAAGGATTTTGAGGTATCAATAGAAATCGTAAGTCAGTGAAAAAGTGTGGCTGCAACTTCTCTCTAAGTACCAACACAAGTGGCCTCAGGAGCTGCTGACTCCTCTGGTTGTTCTCAACCTTCCTCCAGGAGCTACTGCAGAAACACTAAAACAAATTCATCTCCTAAATTCACCCTAGATTAGTCCTCAAATCTGTACATTTAGCATCTGAATCATAAACCAGATCAAGCAGCTCACCTGAGATGAGATTTAAACAGGGCAGGTTTCAAGCCATTGGGAGATCTGGGAAATGTTTCTCACAGATAAAGCAGTTTTGGAATTGAAGATGAACTCCCCAAAAACCTTGGATTGCTGCTGAGGCACACAGAATTATGAGCATCCCTTCCCTGGCACGCACCAAACTCCTCCATTGCTGCCCTTGCCTGGTGTGGAGGGGTTGGAGAGAAGCCCAGTTGTATTTTTATTGTCTCTCACCTTCCAAAACCCATCAAAAGGAGAAACTCTTCCCTGTGACAGGGGTGAGGCCCTGGCATGGTTTTCCCAAAGAAGCTGTGGCTGCCCCTGCATCCCTGGAAGTGTCCAAGGCCAGGCTGGAGCAGCCTGGGACAGTGAGAGGTGTCCCATGGCAGGGGTGGAATGGGATGGGATTTAAGGTCCCTTCCAATCCAAACCATCTCACCATAATTCATCTGCCCCTCTCCTGCCATCCAGGAGCCCTCCAGATGGAGTTGACTCCCTCTGACCTCAAGAACAATTTCTTAGAAGAAAGGATGGGTTTTGTGTACTGGGAATGATCCAGTCTGGTGGCACTGGCCTTTGGAAAGTCTGAGTTTAATCCTGGCTCGGAGCAGCCTGGAGTGAATCAGCTCAGTTGTGATTTTTAGAAGAGCCAAAGGGAAGTAGACACCCAAAGCCAATCAAAGCTCACATGGGATTTGTGCAACTAAGGCCTTTTAAAAACAGCCTTAAACCTTTTGGCTTGATGTCTCCAGCCATAAAGTGAGGATAATAATCCCTCTTACATCATGGGGAGGCTGCTATGTACATTAATGAGATAATGCTCATAAAGCACTTTGAAGGTGAAAAGTGCTATGCTGGGATAAGCACTGTTATTATATTTTAAGTTAAATCTCAGGGTTTCGAGCACACAACAAAAGCCTGTCCATATTTTAGAGTAGCACTCTATAAAAACATTTGGGAAACGTTTTAATTTACAGAAGTACGGGAGAATAGCCTGAAAGAGTTCTAAATAAAATTTAGCCCACCTATAATTTAATAATAGCCAAACTGATTTTTTTTTAATTTGTAAAAACAATTTACTGCTGGGCCTAGACCCCGAATGCCAAGTTTCAGCCCACAGAGAGGGGTTTTTTTAATGGCTGAGTTATAAACCCTTGAAAAATGCTGACAGCCCCTTTACTAGAGCAGCACTAGCGGGTGCCCTATAATGAACTTTTAAATGACTTGAGATAATATCTGGAAAGCCAAGCCTGAAATATATTTCTGGGTTTGAGCCATTGCCAAGGCAAACACAACACATCATAAGTCATCCTCATGATTCTGAGCGCATAAATTGGAGACACTGCATATAAAACCCAAATATTAGGTATCCTTCATGGCCAAACTTTGTGCTGGTTTGATGTTACAGAGCAGCAACAGCTGTGCAAGGACGAAATGTAGAGCGTTGCGTGTCTCCAAAGAAGAAAAGTGTCTGTATTTCCACAGCTCTGCCTTGACATTGTTAAATAGGAGCCTGCCCAGTCCTAATAAATCCTCCACTATTCTACTACTTTTAAGTGGAACCCAGGTGGCTTTCAAAATAAAAGCTCATCCTGGCCGGCCAAGGAATGTTAATCTGCTCTGTGACCACATGGTTACTCTATCTTAAATTACCAAAGACACAGCTTAGAGCAGTAACACCCTCTTGGCTTGCAGGAGGATTTTGCTGGCCACAGGGAGACCTTTCCCCCCAGCACCGTGTGTGCTGCATGTTTCTGATTTCACAAGGTGTTTAAAGCACGACGGGGATGCAGGATTGGACCCTGGAAGGGTCATTTTATGAGAAGAGTTGTTGTTTCATTTATCCTTCTCTTTCTGCCCTTCTGATCTTTTGGAATATTCAAAGAAAAGCTAAAATTAAAGTCTCTGCTCAAGCTTAAGCCAGCTTTAATCCAGGTGCACAAGACAGGCTGGTGAGCCAAGTTCCTTCCACTGCAGATGGGGAACAACACAGTTCTCTGCAAACATCTCCAGACCTTTCCTCAGGCAGCTGTGGGGA